ATTTTAAAGAATTTCGATGCAAAAAATACCAGGTTTCCAAGTGAGCCACCAACATTTAGACCTATTTCTATAGTGACGGTTTGCAAAGAGAAACCAGCCCCCATCCATGATGATGGTGTAGGGAGAGAATCTTTTCACTTTATTAGATAGCTAAGCTACAGGGGAGCGGGAAAAATGAATTTCAGTTGTTTTTAGAATATTTGTTATCTTTGTTTCGTGCGTTTTAGTGAAGTATAATTGCAGCTTGGTTGTATATTATAGAAAACATACTATTTTAACTTTCCCTGAGGGCTACGGTTTTGTATCTAAACACATATCAGTCAAGTGTAAATATCCTATTCAGAATAACCTACGTTGCAGAGATAAAATAAAAATGTATCAGAGAAAAAGTCATACACCGTTGTGTCGAAGATGAATGAACCTACTCATATTGTCTCCTTAAATAATAGAAAAGCTACTTGCTCCGACGGAATTGGAAATACCTTTCTTAAACTAAGTGCTACAAAATTATCATTTCCCCTCACTGAGAATTTGAATAAGTCGCTTCACGCAACTGTATTCCCTAAGGGTTCAGTAAATGAATGTGGCAGCTACAGACCGCCCGCCCTTACCAGTTGTGTATCTACAGTTTTCTAAAATTTGTTCATAACTATTTGCCTAATTAATTTAGAGATAATAATATCATTAGTACAGTGCAATCGGGATTTATTCCTGGCGATTCTACAACGTATCGGTTAGCGGATTTGTACAATTCCATTGCAAGTGCTTAAGATAAAGGTAAAGAAGTAAGAACCGTGTTCTGTGACATCCGTAAAGCATTTGATAAAGTATGGCATAAAGGACTTTTGAATAATTTACAATCATTTGGAATGAGTGGTAAATTGATAGAATGGCTCGGTAGTTATCTAAATGACGTAGTTCATAAGGTATTTATAAATGGATATAACTCTGAACTTAAACCTGTATTGGCAGGTATCCCTCAGGGATCGGTTTTAGGAGCTTTGTCATTCTTAATATATATAATTGACCTTGTTGATGATATTGATTGTAACGTACGTCTTTAGCTGATGATTCATCACTGTATGTAATAATAGAAGATCCGGTTTAACAACAAACAGTGTCAATGATGACCTACATAGACGTTCAACGGGGACAAATAAATAACAGGTGAAGTTCAATCTAAAAAAACCCGGAAACAATTCAATTTAGTGGAATACGGGTGGCTAGTCCTAAACCCCGGTTATTCATGCAAGGGGTTTCTATAAACGAAGTTGAACGACATAAACACGTAGATGTTATATTATATAAAACTTCAAACTGGGCTGCTCAAGTTAATAGTATTGTAGATAGAATTACTTCTATGATAAATTGCTTGAGAAGTTTGAAATGACGTTTATCACGTAGATGAGTTAAGATTATGTAAATGGATTTCATATTACCGCTATTTGATTATTGTAGTCATGTCTAAGATAACTGTACCGCTGCTCAAAATACCCATTTAGAAAAAATACAACTTGATGCATTAAGGACAATCTGCGGGGCAACAAGAGGTACAAGCCATAACAACTTATACGCAGAAACTAATTTCTTACCTCTTGTTGACAAAAGACGTGTACAAAAATTAACCCTTTTCCATAAAATGATAAACGGCAAAGCACCAGATTATTTATATAATCTTGTCCCAGACAGCGTTTCGGCCAGTAATTCATTTACAAAATTTACAAAATATTCGCGTAAAACAATTGTTTATTCAAAGTCACTTTTACCAAGTACAGTAGATCTTTTAATGCTTTACCAAATGACATCAAAATGATGTAAATGAAAACGTAACTGCCCAATTAGGTTATTCATTTTTATTTGATCTGAATTATGGAAGCCGACTTTGTGAATTATTCATTGTAGGCTTAGTTTAATCTGTAGTGACCTAAATTGTCATAAATTTGAAAGACATATCTCTAACGATCCTTCCTGTTCGTGCAGCACTTACCGTGAAAATACACCACACTGTCTATGTGCCTGTCAACACTACGCTATGTAAAGAAATGATGCGTTATATTACGAAAAAAATGAGTATAGCTTAAAGACAATTCTCTACGGAAATAATGAAATATCTTATCTTGATCTTGACAATCTATTTACCTATTCATCTCTGCTTCTTGTAGATGTGATGCTAAAGATGGTTAAAGAACTGTTAGCTTTAGAAATATATCAGTTGTTATCATGAAATTGCTATTGAATAATTAATTATCATTTGATTGTACATTACCTTATGGTTTGACATGCAATTACTTGTATGTTAATTTTGGTTTGTTTACTTTTGTAAATTGTATTAGAGAGGTTTCAAAATAAGCTTCTAGCCTGTTTGCCAATTTATTCGTTTCTCACGAATAGGTATGTTTGAAACCATATTCTCGAATTATCCGTGGTTCTTCACAATCGCAATATGATGACTAAAGGAGAAACACGCAAGGTGTAATTCGAGACAACCGCTAGTTCGACACATCAAGGTTCGCCACAGTGGTGTTTGACTGTCATTAGGTGGAAGTGGACAACAGATATATTGCATATTTTTCTACACATAAATGATATCGACCTGTTTCGAGTTTGGATGTGAATGGTCGAATCAAATAAACCAGTGGAGTGACTGAGTTGGGTTGTACGCGCTTTTAGCAGTGTGCAGGCAATATGAAGGCGGGAGACAACAGAAATGGGTTTCATACATTGTGCCCATGTGGCGAATCGAACCCGGGTGTTCCGTGGAATGAACGAACGCTTTAATCACTTGGCTACACCAAATAACATAGTGGTCAGTTTTGAAGTATGACTGGACAAGTTTCATACACGTTCAACAGACTTGAAATCATGAACAACTAGAACGGCACCACAGATGCCTGTATGGCGGGTCCTGTCTCTATGAATGAAGTATTTGTGTAAGTGTTATATATACGATAGTATGAATTGTTTATTGATTGAAGCGCTTGTAAAATATGGACGTATTATCTGTATTTCTTCTGGGTGTAGATCAAATCGGTTTCGGGGTACAACCCAGTGATCGACAGCATGAGCATCGATACACACATTTTCGATACGATGACATGTGTCAACCAAGTCAGCGAGCCTGACCACATGATCCCGTTAGTCGCCTCTTACGACAAGCGTGGGTTACTGAAGATCAGTTCTAACCCGGATCACCGTAAAGTAATTGCAAGAGAAATACCTTGGCTTATTCTTCATGGTTCTTACATTTGGACCTTTTGGCACACCGACTGCAAGCACAAGTGTGCACGAAACAGACGGGTGTATTTTGCCTCATGGTTTCTGTTTAGATTTATTTAATCCTTTCTTCCCTGCTTGCCATGTTGAAGTTCATATTGACGTTAATAAATACTACAAGTTATGTAAAAATGTGGGTGCATCTACATATAATGTAACATCTCAACAACGAATCACTTGTATTTGCATGTTTATCAACCATCATTTTTGTCCTTGTCATCCCATCAATATGAGATATGTATTTAAACTCTGTTTGTATTTTAGATATAGTAACACTACTAAAGGAGTTCGGAGGACAAAATCTTCACGACGTTCATAATTTTGTTTGTCAGTGAAAGCCGCATAAATAACGCATCAAAACACCTTTTGCCCAAACACCATATGTATCAGTTGAAATGTCCAACTAAATGATATCTCAATTCTGTCCAAACTACTTACCTTGTGTATAAGTTTAAAAGTCCAACGAAATTTTATCTCCCTTTGTATAAGTTTAAAACTCCAACGACATAATATATCTCACATTTGTCCAAAATACCAAATGGATAAGTTTCAAAGTCCAACGAAATTGCCTTTCCCTTTTGCCATAAAAACGTACTTGTTACAAGTTTCCGAAGTGCACCTAAAATATGTATATGTTTCATACATTCAGCCAACATGCGGATCAACCTTCGAATCAGGACCCTGAATCCCGAGCGCTTGTCAATTACCACCCTACAAAACCCCGACAAAATCAATGTACTTTTTGTGTCAGAGCTTCATATGGTAACAAACATACGCAATTACTCCAATCATATGTTACTGAACTTACTTTCAACACGAGAACGTTAATCAAATCGTAAACTGTACAATATTATTTTTCCTCTCCTTCTGGAATATAGTTTATGCTATCTTAAAACATATGGTATTGTTCTGAGCTATATTTGACATTCATCCCAACAATTTGTGAGTTAGTGAGTGAGTGACTGACATAAATTAAATACAGCAAATGTCATATTCATGCCATCCCCAACAACAGAGTCAGTGAGTATGGTTTTACGCCGCTTTTAGAAATATTCCTTCAATGTCACAGCATGGGAACCAGAAATGGGCTTCACACATTGAACCCATGTGGGGAATCGAACCCGGGTCTTCAGCTTGACGAGCCAACTTTTTAACCACAATGGCTACTTAGATTAAAAGGAATTCAGAATTGATTTCCAGAATTACGTTTGTGGGTGTGGGCATATGTCGAACCTTAAGGAATATAATATTTTTGTCGGAAACTGAACTTTTAAACTGATCCAAAACAAACTGCCACATCAGCAAGTCTTGACCAAGTTACCGTCGCGCGCATCACACAAATAAATGAGTTAGCGAGTAAAGCCGCTTTAAGTAATATTCCACCAAAATCATGGCAAAGAAAAAGGAAATTCCCCATGTGCGGAATCGAATCAGGGTCTTCGGTGTAATGGGCGAAAGCTTTCACTTCTAGGCTACCCCATCGCCCCTGACTCATAATATTTAATGAGTAGTATTAAGAGGAAGCTTTACCCAAAATACTGATAACGTCGATCAGCACAGTTCCAGCTGTAGTACCTACACAGAGCGGGGTATGTAGCTCATTTACTGGAAAGTTGATACACAACAGTTTGAATAAAACGTAAAACAGCAAAAACATGGTACAAATAAAAAAACAATACCCATCCGTGTTTTAATGTAATCGTTGAGTAAAAGCAAAAGAATTATATATCATGAAGATGTCAGTTTATTGAAAATTACATTTAACATCGGAAAAATGAAAGAAGCAATTATAATATAATACACATATTAATTCTTAGCCTTGTGTGAGGTAAACAATAGCAATATTGCTGCAATATCACGGCGGGCTTCACACAAAGTACCAATGTGGGGAATCGAACCCGGGTCTTCAGCGTGACAAGCAGACGCTTTAACCACTAGGCTACCCCACCGCCCTCACCAGTAGTGTCATGAACAATCATGAATAATGGCATCTTCGGTTATTCGCAACAATGCACTGAGGAGTTGCTGCTTTGCTAAAGGCTGATGTTCATACAACCACACCTGTTTTAAACAATAGTTCAATAGTTGTCTCCATTTGGCTATCACCGATAAATCATATCCGTGCAGTTATTAAAAATAAAAATTCTTTATGAGCAAAATATAAACAATCTTAACGAACGCAAAGTTGTCCATTAATTATGGATGTAATTTCATATCAGGTGGCATGAGAAACAATAAACACAACTGCCAGCCATGTCGATATTTTGTTTCAGGAACAGATTGTGGTTTTGAACACGTGAAAGTACAACGCTTTACCATTTAAAGGAAATCATTACAGAAGTGCAAGGTCCTTCGTTTGCAATGATTTCTTTTGTATATGGTAAATTTGAAACAAGAGGGCTTGAAAATTAAAACTGCATATTTATAAATGTTTTACGTAAAAATTGCTTATTTTCAAAATAATTACAATTAATTGCAGGACACATTTTACACCCACAAAGAAAATTACAAACACAAATGAAAAAACAAATTTCAGCGTTATTTAGTTGACGGTTGAATACACACGGTAAGAATCGAAGCAAAGACGAGGCGTCACATGTTTGCGGTATGGCCATAAATTGGTTTCATGTTTTATGTCTCAACTGATTACCGTACCTTGCCTTTGTTTGGATTCCGGAAAGTAAATTTACTAAAAACGTATGCAGGGTCCTCCAACGTCATACGTGAAATGTTAGTTCTGACGAAATATACTAGTATTTGGAATAATGTACAACCACCAAGGCGAGTGCACACCACCTGCCGTACAAAATATATTCCCAAACAAATTGAAAAAAAAAAGAAATAGGGTGAAAAACATACATGACAAGGTCAATCTACAATACAAACATTGGATCTTGAACTCAAACTCTAAATCTAAATACACGTGCATGTATACATCTGGCTATTTTGTGTATAGATCTACTGGCGAAACATGGTAATGATTCTAATACATCTATAAAGTCGAAATGAACCATATGCTTCTGATACGTCTCTGAAGCTTAAAAGTGCATTAACATCATCAGTTTCACATCAGTTCCTCCACCGCCAGATACAATGACGTGGCGTCAGGAAAGTCACCCCCTGTACTCCTTGATGCAACAGCTTGCTTAATCAGCTCAAATGAGATTCCCATGGCAAGCACCGCCTCTACCTGTGGGGAGTGTCTTGGTTTACTTGGAGGTGCACCTGCGTGACCCTTTGTGGGACATCCGGTTCCAGGTCCGTCTTTGTCCCTGGGTCCAAGATTTGCAGCAAGCACAACAGGTTTGTTTTGTGCACAAGACGCTCCATCGTGTCGTGGGTCCTGTGACCTCATGTCAATTCCATCCCCCCGTTTGCTGTTGTGGGCGTGTTTTATATACTCACATCTAGGAGACCACTGGAGATGCGCATCAAACGGATCATCATCAGTATCCCAGTCCCTTAATGTCAGCCCGCAGTAGAAGCACCGAGCTCGGTCTGCAGAGCCGATATAGAAAAACCCGGCGGCAGCCATGTTTGGAGGAGATTGAATGTCCAGTTTAAGGGGCCATGCTTCAAACGTGCCCAGTCTCTTTACCTGGTCAACAAAATCGCTATACTTTGCCTTGGTAACATCATATCCAGATCGTAGCGTAGGCGTAAGCGCAGGAAACCACTTCTTGAGGAAGCTGCAGTCTGGGGAGTATTTCCGATGTACGTCAAGGGGGACGTCTGTCTCCGTCCAGTTGTACAGTTTAACCTTGCAGGTGTCACATTCCACTTTGTCCCCAGGGCCGATCAGCATAAACCCCGCAATAGCGAGCTGTAATGATTTAACCTTCCCTGTCCAGTTGACGAATGTTCTCAGCCTCTTGGCGAGGTTGTCTTTCTCCAGAGTCGGTTGATTATCGAATAGGGGTTGTCTGCCACGACTTTCAGTTTGTAACGGTACTGCACTATCTGATGTATCCATGGTAACGCGTTTTAGATCGCGTGCACATGCACAAACATGAACAGACTTGAGCGTCCACTTGCCGGGTATAGCCTCTTACAAAGTTCAAATATTTATTTCACGCATTGTCAAATCGCAGCTTCCTGTAGCTAAAATTAGATCCACATCACTCTGCATAGCAGGAAATACGCATAGGCGCCCGACTCTGACCTATATGTAAAAGATATATCTTCACGGGCGCCTATGTAACTGTGATACGCTGACATGTGTCAACCAGATCAGCAAGCCCGACCAGCGGATCCCGTCGCCCCCTTTACGACAAGCATGGGTTGCTGAAGATCAATTCAAAACAGGATCTTCACGGTGCGGTTTAACGCACAGTCGATCTGATTTACAGGCTGAGTATATATAGGTCGGTCTGTCGGTATATAATGCGTGCGTGCAAACATTCAACGTTTTTCATATGGCGTTTTTCAAGTCACTCGCGCTCACGGGCACTATCGCATTTCTCTGCAGTATGGAACTTTATATTAGGGGTGACTATTGTTGGGAAAACAACTATAGCGATGGTCTATTGCAACATACTATTGCGATAGCGATGATCTATTGCGACTAAATATTGCAATAGGTTTTTTTTCTCTCCTTGAACTGTCTCATCTGAAGTCATTTTCCAAATGAAATAAAAATAAATTGAAGTAGTTTCAGTCCCTTTTGATAACTGACCAGAAACCTGAAACCCCGATCAAGTAAACAGTTAAAACATGGAGTTAATGAAGCTGCAAGTCTGCACCCAAACAATAAAGAAATACAAAACAACATAAATACACTAAACGCGAAAAAAAGACAACGTTACCCTCCTTCCTTAATGACGGAGGTACTTATCTTAAACTGGCGTTGTGATGCGTGGACGTCCGCTTCTTGGTCTGTCTACGGTGACCCCAGACTGTCTGAAGCCCTTAAAAAGTCTTATAACCGTGATACGGTGGCATCCGAGGGCGTTGACAACAGCATTGTATTTCGACCCCATCTGCACCATCCCAATGGCTCTTTCTCTCTCTTCAGCTGTTAATTGAGGCATATTTCTCGTACTTGTGTATCATATCATCTTTTCTAGGCTCTCTTCATGCCCTATACAATCATTCTAATTGTGAAATGGATGCAAATACTGCTGCAATATTGCTGCGTTTTAGCGATTGATATTGCTATGTGTAAACAGAAAATGGAAAAAAGTTACCTTGCAAGCAAGCAAGCAAAAAATGTTAACAAAGATCATTGATGATGTTCCTAAACATTTTTTCACAATATCAAAGACACGTTTTACTTGCTTTCACTAATGCAAATCAGCAGAAAATGTTTTAAAAGATTGAAATCATAGGAATGCTTATTTTATAATTGTACACACTATACAACCGTTGTTTCTTGTTTTAATAGTTGAAAAATAGTGACTTTAAATGTCTATTTTTGTCCCAAAGCAGAATTTTATTTCAACCTTAGTTTGGACATCTAAATCACTGTTATTGGTTCATTTCGGCATAGACGAAAATAGGACAATTTAACTCTTCTGAAAAAGATGCATTTCACCTAAATATGAATGCATTTGAGAAATTGTTTTTCGTGATTTGCATAAAGCTGTGTCACATGCAACCAAAAAATCAAACATAATTAAAACACAATTATCACTTATTCATGACATATAATATGCATTGCTGGTTATGAAAAAACATATAAACAAAATTATAAGCGTATAATCGCAAATCAAAAGTGCAATATTGTGTACTTCGGTTCACTTCCCAAGAAACGAAGCAGCCGGGATACCGAACCCAGTCAGAGCGGTTGGGTGTGCACTCAAGTGTAACGGCTGGTTCATTTGCAGATGCCTTCACGGCTCATTGTGTGTATATATATAGAGATGTTGGGTTTTGTAAATACATGCTCATTTTTTGTGTATAACATTTTGCAATCAACAGACATCATAACATGTCATGTGTTCAAGTATCACACCTGCCTGTCTTTGCAATTACATAATGTGACAGAGACCGAACTCGGGTCATAAATCAATGCATTTTGTTTTTGGTGTATAGCCTGATTGGTGTTAAGTTCAAATTGCATGTGGTCAGTGATAGCAGCTGTGTATTGAATATTGTCATTAGCAGACAGGCAGGCAGACACACAGGTGTCAATAAAACAAGACATTGAGACAACGACATATCTATATCACAGTTAGAAATTAGGTCAACGCTAAATAATGACATTGCTTTTAAGTATCGAACTGAGAAAGTGACTCGGTAAGAAGAACGTGTGGTGAAATAGACAAATGAAATTATATAAACATTATATAATTTACTGTCATAACATATAAAAAGCTCGCGCCTGTGAGATATCAACAAAACATTAGAAAAATAGCTCACGCCAAAGCCTTCACCGAGTATTCACCCGACAACCCGAGTCCTAGCTGCGCGAACCTGTTTACCTGCGCACGTGCTATGAGCGCAGCCCAGCTGTTGAAACCCGTTTTCCCCAGAAAGTCTGGGGAAAGTTAGTGAATCGTTTGAACTCCGATTTCGCGCGGTTTTTTTCATCGCGTTATTTTTCAACTTTATAAGTTGAATTTGCATTTTTCATGATTTGTTTCGGTAAGTCCATACCGAAAGGTATCAGAATCTGCAAAGTTGTGTTTTACGTTGCATGTGACCTTTAAGCTTTCTTGTAAACTAATACCTTCTAACATATCTTTGATAGTTTTTCAGTAATTCATAAAGGTAGGAGGGTAACGTTTCTTTTGGCGTTTAGTGTATTTGTCAACGGAAGTCAATTACTTAACTATCGATAGTCACACATATTATCGATGCATCGATAGTTTTTCGTTTCTTCCGTCTATTGATTGCTATCGGAGACTCAACCATTGCAATCCATCGATAGTTCAATGCATCGTTACAGCCCTACATTATATACTACCCGTAAAGATTCGGGTTAGAATGGGTCTTCACCAACACATGCCTTAAGAGGCGACTAACTGGACTGGGTGGTCAGGCTCGCTGACTTGGTTGACACATGTTATTGTAGCCAAACTGTGTAGATCGATGCTCATGCTGTTGATCACTGGATTGTATGGTCCAGACTCGATTATTTACAGATAGCCGCCATATAGCTGGAATATTGCTGAGGCCTGACACAACAAACACAATCTCATTCAGTGGACGCATATTTTCGGTTTTGGGAAATTCCTTGAGTAAGAGTCATTACTCCAGAAAATTTGTCGTTTAATAAACAGAAGTCATTGTTGTGGTCATTTTGTATGGAGTGAGTAAGTGAGTTTAGTTTTACGCCACCGATTATTGCTAAGTGAGGCATAAACCAACCAACCAACCAACAATTTAAGGTTCGAATAGTGACCGGTTGTTATGAACACACACATGAAACCCCAACATATTATTTTATGGCGCTTCAATGTCTATGGGCTTCATATCATCCATTTATAAACGGATTATTTGATGAGTCTTGCATGTACTTGGTGATATGATTACCTAAAATATGACAAAATAGCGCTGCATTATATTCTTTTCTACGTTTAATGTAATTCCGCAACCAAAAAGTTTTCTTAGAAAGGCCGAAAATAGTCAAATGCACATTTAAATGTTCATTTTAAGTTTAAGATGTAAAATTACGTAATTCATTTTGTTTTAGTTAAATAGATGAATTTGATGAAAGTAAAATGAAACATAAATCATTTCTGTTTTTTATTCACTTGTCGACGTTAGATCTATTGTTTGAGACATTCAGTTCTTAATCTCATCACTCTGTAGAGTTGCCTCCCTTAGTACCAGTGGCAAGATGGCCGACTCCGGTGGAAGTGACCGTGCAATTGACACATTAGAGGTGTCGATTTGATGTTGTGTTTTCATTTTAAAAGCCATTGCACACGGCCGAATGTACTTAATTACGCAAAAATGTCTGAATATGACCACAAAGAGTTGGTTACCAAGTATGAACTCCTGGCAAATGAGGTACGTATGTTATCTGTTGACACTCAGCATCAGTCTATGTCCTATTTTCGATCAAATCAATAGTGACAGATCGTAGCCATGTTAACATACCTGTTGGCTTATGCATCCAAACACAATTACCATTAAATGTGAGTAAAGAAGAATATTCAAAATCACATGTAAATTGTATTTGACTTGATATCACTTTACGTACACTATACACATAATGTTTGTTATGTTTTTGTGATGATCTGCTCCGAAAAAACCCGTAGTGAACTGAATAATTATTTCAGTATCATGTCTCTAATCCTTTAGTTGCATTTAGGGATGTTTGTATTGACCAAACATGTTTGCAAACAGGAGTCATTGGAGTGTCATGCTTTTACAGTTGTTGTGGTACCTTATTGTGTACAGAGTTGGCATCTTGTGGAGAGTGTATGGGCATTCAACAGTTAGAACCACAAGTTCCAAGACAATATATGACAATGAAAATTATATAGAACAATTTAGGGCTGCACCGAATCCATTATGAGGCAAACATGATACATATCATAAATACTGGGTAATGTTTACCATAACAGGCAGCAGTAGAAGTATTTTCCTTATCTATTGTGATACTGTATTGTCACATATTTTTTCATATTTCCTCTGAGCATTCCTTGTCAAAGCACCTTGCATGTCTATTAACACATAGGCTTTGAAAACATTGCTCAGTCTTTTCTGTATTGCATTTGTGACATTCTTCAAAATAGGATTAAAAGAAGAAGATTCTGATTAATGTTGGAATGAAACCAAACTGTAAATATCAAGTAACTGATAAATGCTATGGGTAATATTAGGCACTTACCGGTACATTCTGTAGAAACAGTTTCCCTCTAGAAGGATCTGTGATATTTTGGTTCATGTACTGATAGTTTCTGTGATGAGAGATATATGTGAACTGACGCATGAATGTTTTGTCTGTTGTTTATCATTGTAATCAAGAAAATTAAGAAAACAGGGGCATTGTAATTTATATAACATTTAGCACGCCTATTTAAGATGGTATTGCACCATGCTAAATATACCATTTGACACAATCCAAATCTGCAAGGGTTGTCATTTGATATTGGTACAGTATTTCAGCCATAATCAAGCTGGCTCAGGCGCCAGGCTAGTAATCCAGTGAGGTTGAGGTGTCGGG